GAGTACACGCTGTTAAAACTATAATATATACTTAGTACGTGAGGGTAATATGGTCATCCGGTTAATATGGTCACTTTCTAATAACTCAAAAACTACAACCTTGTTTACATTGATATTTCTGTCATAAAACATCTCTTCATTAGTCAATCAAATATAAAGGGTCAAACAGGCGCTGCTTTATCGACGCAATTTTGACAGTTGACATTATAGTAAATGTTTTAGTCAATTTTAGTATTGTGTAGTGTAGTAAGTTTTTCTTAAGTTAATTTTTTGAAGGGTTCTTAATTATTACTACAGCTTTTCTTAATATATTAATTACAGTATACGACTTTGTGTTTTTCTCTCTGTCCTCCTCATAGTTTTGATTTATAGGCCGGCAAAGCTTAAGGTGACCACTACAATACAAATACATAGAATTAATTACAAAAAACAAAAAACATAAAAAATAATAGCAATCAAAACTATCAATAGTAATATTAATAATAACAAAAGCAAACAACAAATCCAAAGACATTTAAATAGTAGTAGTATATATTTAAATCTCTTTCAACAAATCAAACGTGAAAAACAAAAGCAATCAATAAATTTATTCAATAAATGTTCCATTATAATATTTTTAGAGATGATTTTAATAATTCTTTGCTTAATTTCTATTTATTGGAGGCATTTGACTTAACCATTTTATTTTGTTATAAATTCTGGGTACAATGAATTTAAGCGCAGTCCACAGAGTACATTGTATATACATGGCGCAGTCCATAGTAGTTATTTACACTAGACTCTTCTAGTTTTTTTTTCCTTTACCTTTGTTTTAAGTGTTGATAATAGGTACTTTGTTCGTGTTTTTTTCTGTGCTACTGTCGTGTTTCGATTGGGAATATTTTACACATGGCAAAAAAAGTCATATTCCTTTTTACAACTTTCTGATGTATAGGGAACCTGTGTAATTACAGGCTGTGAGGTGTTCCATCTTACTCCTCAGAGGTGACAATGCATTTGTAGCCTTTTCGTCTGAATTTAGTGACAGGTGTCCGTGAACTACAGTAGTCATTAACCATCAAGCGGAGTGTGAGTGCGTGTGTCACTTGAGTTTTACAAAAGTAATCGATGCATTTATTCTTTACAAAATTTTTATTTTATTATATCATACGACACGTAGGTAACATGACGGCTCGCAATCGCAATGGCTAAGCATTTGGCTGCGGCGCTATGGAGACTCTGATTCAGATCACGAACGGAACAAATGCTTGTAACGCCTAAAAATAATTGTCACCGGTAAAAATAATTTTGCAGGAAAAACTTGTTTTTAATATAATTAAAAGAAAAACAGATTACTGTTTACGTGGTAGAGCCAAGCTGCGGCTATATTAGTAGTAGGTATAGTTGTAGCACGAATGGGTCGGCTCGACCGGGGAAGGACCACGCTCTCACAGAATATCATTGTAAAATAGCAGCTTAATCTTTCTGTGTTTCGTATGGTGAGTATAGAGAACCGGAGACCCCCTTTACTGGAAACGAGGCATAACATCTTAGTCCTCAAGGGTGACAACACATCTGATGTCTATGGGCCGCAGCAATTAATTACCATTAGGTGGACTGTGTGCTCGTTTGTCACACTTATCCTATAAAATAAAAAAACAGATTAATTAAGAAAATAAAAAAGTATTTCTGTTTTCTTAAGACTTATTCTGAATAATATAATTAATTAATTATATTAATAACTAGCTGTTCCCCGCGTGTTATTTGGAGTTTTAATTTTTTTGCGCGGGACCCTAATTCTTTTTCTAAAATAAAAGTAGCCTAAGTTACTCCTTAGAACATCAGCTATCTACCAGTGAAAGTCCAGTCGAAATCGGTCCAGCCGTTTCGGAGATTAGCCGGAACAAACAGACAGACAGACAGACGGATAGACAGACAGACAGAAAGACAAAAACTTTAAAAATTGTATTTTTGTTATTAGTACCATATACACTTTCATATGTATTTAGTAAAAAGCTATAATTTTGACATTACAAACAGATACTTCAATTTTATTTATTTCTATCGATATATATAAAGCCGTGTAGTGGTTGTTAAGAATATCCATTACCCCATATCTTCCCGTGGGTGTCGTAAAAGGCGACAAAGGGAAACAGGCAGGAAAGGGGCAGCAGCATCTTCCTGATAACAGCAAAAGTACATTAAAAAAAAAAACTGCGGTTGCCAACCCACTCGCCAAGCGTGACAATTATGGCAAATACCCCCCAATGATTAGAGCAACAAAAAGACGGCCCCCAGTCCCCGGCGGCCCCACTATTCCTGTCTACGGTGGCGACCATGGTAACGGCGGGGCAGGGGGTGCTAAGAATCTCCGGTGGAGGTTCGGTTTCCACCTAAAACGAATCGACCTGGCAACATATAACGCACGCACCCTGAGGACTGACTGAAGGAAGAAGAGTTAGACAAGTTACGCTGGCATATTATAGGATTATCCGAGGTCCGAAGAGAGGAGGAGGACACGGTAATCCTCAAATCCGGCAACTTGCTCTATCACCGGGAGGGCGACCATCTGTTCCAAGGCGGTGTCGGATTTATCGTACAAGTCTCTCGTTAACAACGTTGTAAAAATAGAGAGTGTGTCGACGAGGGTTGCGTACCTTATACTCAGAATCACCAAACGGTATTCTCTGAACCTCGGCACATCCCGATGAGGAGGTGGAAGAAATGTATGAGGATATTTCTAGAGCCATGCTTTCCTCCAAAACCCACTATACGGTGTTAATGGGAGACTTCAATGCAAAACTAGGTACAAGAGAGAACGGTGAGCTGAAAGTAGGGGAATTTGGAATAGGGCAACGGAATCCAAGGGGCCAGCAGCTGGCCGACTTCATGGAGAAAGAGGGACTCTTTATGATGAACTATTTCTTCCAGTAGCGGCCCCACAGGAAGTGGACCTGGTCGAGCCCCAACGGTTCGACAAAAAATGAGATTGACTTCATTATGACAACCAGACGACAACTGTTTAGTGATATCTCCGTGATCGCGAGGGTGAAAACTGGTAGCGATCATCGAATGGTTAGAGGCACACTAAACCTAAACGTTAAGTTGGAGAGGTCTCGTCTAATGAAGTCAACGCTCCGTCCCCCTCGTGCTCTGTTCCAAAGTCCCGAAACCTTTCAGCTCGAGTTACAAAACCGTTTTGAGTGCCTAGAAGACTGCAATGAAGTGGACGATATGAATGACTCGTGCTCGTGCTCGTGCACGTGGAAACTGTCCATGCGGTTGGAACTAAGTTCTGCAAGACCCGCCGCAGAGGAACACAAAAACTCACCGATCACCCTCTTAATCTCATGGCTGTTAGACGGGAAATGAAGCTACATTCTTCAACAGATTTGACAGCATACAGGCAACGGAACAGACAGATCTCCAAATGCATGCGGCGGGACTAACGCAACTTCAATACAGCTTGTATTGAAGAAGCGATCGAGCCGAACCAAGGCTCCAAAGTCTTTGCCAGAGATCTGTCTGCCAGAAAGAGCCAACTGTCAAAGCTGAAGACCGAGTGTGGCAGCATCGTTTCCGGGACACCTGAGATTTTGAGTGAGATTGACAGGTTCTATGAACAGCTGTACACGTCATCGTTGGAGCCACACGCAAGTGTGAGTTACGATCCAAGAGCGACACTATTCCGAAGATATCCCGGACGTAAGTCTGAGCGAGATTAGAATGGCTCTACAGTACCTTAAAAACGGCAAGTCCCCGGGCCAGGATGGAATTACAGCGGAGCTTTTGAAAGCGGGTGGAAAACCGGTACTTGAAGTCCTTCAGAAGCTCTTTAATTCCGTCCTCCATGGTGGCACTACTCCGGAGGCGTGGAGTAGAAGTGCGGTGGTCTTGTTCTTCAAGAAAGGTGACAACGTTCTCTTGAAGAACTACAGACCGATTTCCCTTCTGCGCCGCGTCGTGCTGTTTTCGAGAGTAATTGCGAATCGTCTCGCGCGCAGACTTGACGACTTCCAGCCTCCCGAACAAACCGGTTTCCGAAAAGGCATTAGTACCATGGACCACATACATACCCTTCGGCAGATTGTACAGAAGACAGAGGAGTATAATCTGCCACTTTGCCTTGCGTATGTGGACTATGAGAAAGCCTTTGATTCCGTCGAAATTTGGGCGGTACTGCAGTCCCTTCAGCGGTGCCAAGTTGACTGTCGGTATATCGAAGTGCTGCCTATGCCGGTAGTTATTGGGAGCACTAAGCTCGAAGTTGTTGACGAGTATGTTTACCTGGGACAAATAGTCCGACTAGGTAAGTCCAACTTCGACCAAGAGGTCAATCGACGGATTCACCTCGGCTGGGCAGCGTTCGGGAAACTACGACACACCTTCTCGTTAGACATACCTCAAAACCTGAAAACGAAATTGTACAACCAGTGCGTGTTGCCAGTGATGACTTACGGATCTGAGACGTGGTCCTTCACTGCTGGCCGTATGAGGAAGCTCAAGGTCGCTCAGCGAGCTATGGAATGGGCTATGCTCGGGGTGTCTCTGCGTGAGAAACTTAGAAATGAGGATATCCGCAGTAGAACCAGAGTTACAGACAAAGCCCAACGGATTAGTAAGCTGAAGTGGCAGTGGCCCGGCCATATAGCTCGAAGAACCGACAACCGATGGGGAAGAAAGGTTCTCGAGTGGCAGCCGCGTATCGGTAGGCGAAGTGTAGGGCGACCCCCCACTAGATGGAGTGACGACCTGGTGAGACATGCAGGAAGTCTAGGTCTAAGTCTAAGTCAAGAATGGATGCAGGTGGCTCAGGACCGTGCTTTGTGGCATTCCTTGGGGGAGGCCTATGTTCAGCAGTGGAATTGTGAAGGGCTCTAATGATGATGATGATTATAATGTACAGATATAGATATACTTATTCTGAATCTTCTCTGCAAATTTGGCCGGTTTATTTTCAAATCAACCTGTATAGTGTAATTAAATACAACAAACTTGTCACATTAGAAACTTGTTTCCAGGACTATCAGTACCACCCAGCCCAGTCGTTCCCGTTCGGCAACAGCGCGGACATCATCCGCAGCGTGGCGAGCAAGTCGTGGGACCTCAGCAACAGCCTGCTGCCGCCCGCGCTGCCCGTCTCCAGCGAGCTGCGACCCGAGCCAGTCAAGAGGACCTACGACCCCATGCTGCAGACTAACATTATTAGTAAGTAGGCATACGATTGTTACTACACCCACGGGCGAAATATAATTGGCATTCTTTCATTATAGATTGCCTTATAGGGGACATTTGTCATATTTGCCACTTTAGGTATACAGGTTGCAGAAGCTTTTTTTTTTCTTGATTTTATTAGGAAGATCCTACTGTCCATATTCTGATTTCTTTCTGTTTGTTGCCTCTTACGACATACAAGGGACGATATGGGTAGCTACTACACGGCCGAAATAGGATGGTGAATTCCCTTACGTCGTCACTGCACAGTAAACCTGCATGTCTTAAAATTAATTTAAAAAAATTAGTCAAATTAAATTTCTCTTAAATTATAGACGAAAACTTCATGTACAAAAAAAGATATATTTTATTACAAGCTTACGACCCGCCTCGGCTTCGCATAAGAAGGTTCTATTAAATGTGGTGTTATGTAGATTAGAGATAAGATAATCAAAAACCATTTATTTTATCAATTTATCGATTTCTTAAAAAAATCTCAAATACACCCTTAAGTTAACCCCGACCTAAAACGTAGTAATTATATACTCTTTGCCCTGATATATAACTAGCTGTTCCCCACGACTTCGCCCGCGTTTAATAATTTATTATGATTGGATTTCATGGGTTTTAATTTTTTGTGCGGAAGCCTTATCATTTTTCTGAAATAAAAGTAGCCTAAGTTACTCCTTATAACATCAGCTATCTACCAGTGAAAGTTTCGTTAAAATCTGTCCAGCTATTTCGGAGATTAACCGGAACAAACAGACAGACAAATTTTTTTCTTTAAATTGTGATTTTATTATTATAAGTAACATATATACTTTCATATGTATTTAATAAAAAGCTGTTATTTTGACTTTACAAACAGACACTTCAATTTTATTTATTTATATAGATTAGGACCAAAAACTTCGATATTTATGTTCAAAAATATTGAACTCTGATGTCGTTTCAGGCACCTCGGACTACGACCGAGATGGCCCCATCATAACTGAAGAAGAGTACGAAGAGATGATGGAGAAACTAAGAGCTGCTGACACATTGTACACAGAGTACACGCTTGAAGAGATCATCTATCAACTTGCTAAGGTGAGATACATTTAACATTAAAATTAATTACGTACGTATTCAACGTGGTAGAGCCATACTGCACCTATATCATGGTTGTAGAACGGGCTGGCTCGACCGGGGAAGGATCACGCTCTCACATAGTACCAGTATAATAGCAGCTTAATGCTGCTGTGTTTGGTATGGTGAGTGTAAAGAACTGGAGAAACTTTTTACTGCAAACGAGGCATTCTATCTTAGTCCTCACAGTTGACCACGCATCTGCATTTTGAATAAGATAGGTGTAGATGTATATGGAATGCAGGAACCACTTACCATCAGGTGGACTGTATGCTCCTTTGTCACCCCCACCCCATTCTATAAAAAAAACATATGAAATAAACCTTTCCTATAGATTGTCTCATAGAGGGGGCCTTTGCCACAGTTACAACCGCAACCCGGTTGATAACCGCAGTTTTCATTATTTTGAGTTAAATGTTACTCTCGACATTGGGACGTTAAACACCTCAGCCCCCCCCCCCCCCTCCCGGTGATCATTGGTGCTGTAAAGTGCTCGAAACGTCGGGAATATAAAATAAGTTTATATACGCGATGAAATCAGTAAAACTTAGTTTTATTTAAATGTGTAGTGTTCGCGTAAATATAACAGATTATTAAATATCACTATTTTTAGAATCTAGAATATTACAAGTTCACAAGTTTAAGGTAACACCTATTTTTCCTTAAATTTATATGAAACAACTTGAAGCTATAACCTATTTAATAAAAAAAATAATCTAGATAGGTTCAACTGTCTGTAATATATAATGTACTCTGTGGGTTCAACCGTTTTCGAGTAATCGTTAAACATACATAAAATAGACGTACTTATATCAATTTTATTTAAAAGAAAAATCTTAACATAATTTCATTTAATCAAGTTAAGGTTTCCTTTGCTGGAAATATTTACGGAGGTAGGATCTCTACGGTTTAGTCTGCTAAACTGCTTCAAATATTAGGCGAACCTCATGGAATCTTCCGATTCATAAAGTCATAAATCGTTTTATGAATTGATTCTGCAGACTAGAAATCGTGTGCAGAATATTATGCTATTCTAGGTTTCAAATATAAAGTTTCAAATTTATATTTTTATTATAAATTTATATTTTACACCAAAAACATAAATGTGAAAAGGGTTGTCGGCTTTGCCCATAAAAAGTCGAGATCTGAATGGGTGCCAAGTTTTGTAACAGTTCCTTAAATTATAGTTACAGGAGTGTACAACTTTATTCAATTGATTTAAATTAAATTTTGTTTCGTGCTTTGATATTGAGTTCATAACTTGGCAAGTTTTAATAGGCTATAAATTACGTGGTAGTAAATTTAGTTGGATAAAAACTTGCCAAGTTAGAAACTAGTGTCAGGTCCTCGTGGTGAAGTAAAACTTCGAGAAAAACTGCATGTGAAGTCCACAGCAGCTGCAGTAGAGCGGCAGACTTTCTGTAACAATTACAGAAGTAAAGTTCTGTGTTCAATATTGGGCCTCATGTTGGTTGTTACTTTACATCTTTACACGCTTTTACTCGTAGCAGCTTAAAGATATCATGTTGTGTATAGAAAGTATAATGAATAATAGTAATGAATAATGTAGTGAAAGTATAATGAATAATAATAATGTCCTCCAGGCCGAATTTCGGTCACGGCGGCCAGTCTCAACGGAGACTAGCCATCTGCGCAGGACAGGCTTATAGTGCCCAAGTGTGCGCAAGCACAGGTGCACTCTCTATTCCCTCACTCTTATAGTTCGATGGGACGGTAAATCGACATGACCGGGGAGAGATCAGGCGCAGGACCAACGGCGTTACGTGCTTAGTGAGTGAGTGAGAGTAGACCTAGTGTTTTTAATCTCTTATTATTCATCTTGACTTTCACTGGAAGTAATCTGCGTAACTCTCTTTCAGATGATGTTCTCACAATCGCTGTCCCGCGACCCGGCGTCGGCGCGCGCGGCTACGCAGCGCTTCATGGCCTTTCTCGAACTCGAGGCCGAGCGCGGGCAGCTTTCTCGCACCATCGAGAAGAAAGTTCTAGGTAATGAGGACTGATTCTTTGCCGCTCACCAGATGTCGCTAGTTGTGACCGAAGTTATTTGTTACACAATGTCACCATACCTATGTGAAATATTGCGTGTCAAATAAAAGTTTTTCGATTTATAGTGTTGGTGCAAATCAAAGAAAATATATAATTATAATTATATCACTAGATTAGTCTAGTAATATAGTTATATTTTTAGATCGTGCTCGTATCATAGTTATATATTTATTAGTTCCTCAAAAACTTAATACAATATTCAGTGGAGTAGCGTGCCTTAGAGGGGCCCTGTATCAAAATTTGTCGGGGGGCCCAAATGAAGGGTAAAGATTTTTCACAAAAGGAACAAAAACTCTCGCTTGAATTAAAATAATTATATATTGACTATAAGTTATTACTTACAATTAATACTCCTAGAATCCCATAGAATGAGGTCCCATAGAAGTCCTTAGAATTTTTGCATACATACGTTTAGGGCCTCTGTAGCCCGTGGCCCCGTATCATTGATACGGCTGTAACGGCGGTAGCTACGCCCCTGAACAAATGTGTGTTGCCAGTGATGAAAAAGTGCAGTGGCCAAACCAATCTATGGAAGAGACATGTCAGCAGTAGACTTTTGACAGGCTGTAATGATGATGATGATGATGATGATGATTTACCTGTGCTTACATTTCAGACGTAATGATCGCAGCTCTAACCGACACCATTGGTGACCACCCTGAAATGTTGCAACCACGAGATGGACTTGGAGTTAGCCCTGCTAATCGGTAAATATTTTGAATGTTCGGAATTCGCTATTAATTTAATATTTTACCACAATACCACCCATTTTATTTCCGTGTCTGCTTTTTGCAATAAATTAAAAGTCCTCAAACCATTCCTCAAAAACTTAAAACAATCGTGTACACTCAATGTGGGTTGTCAGTGATAGCATATGGAACTGGGACGTGGTCCTGTCAGTATCTATATCTTAATGACACTCGGCTAGCTATGGAGAGGGGAGGTCTAAACTTGGAGTTTCCCTGCGTGATAGAATCTATAAAGATAATATCTAATAGAACTCAACAGATCAGTAAGCTCAAGTCGCAATAGGCTGGTTATATAATGCAAAGAACCGAGAGCCGATGGGGAGGAAAGGTTCTCGAGTGGCAGTCTTGTATTGGCAAGCAAAGTGTAGGGCGGCTCCCCACTAGATGGAGTGCTCAGGACCGTGCTCTGTGACATCCCTTGGGGAACCTATATTGAACTATGGACGTGTGAAGAGCTGTAATGATGATCACCATGAATAAGGTACGTGAAGGTAATATGGTCACCTTAAGCTTTGCCGCCCTATAAAACCGATATATACTATAACTAGAAAAAAATAACAAACAAGCCTTGGCAATAATTAGCACCACTTCGAAAAATCAACTTAAAAAAGAACTAACTATAGTACGTGAGGGTAATATGGTCATCCGGTTAATATGGTTACTTTCTTATAACTCAAAAACTGCAGCGTATAGAACGCTTTGTGACACGATAGCTCTTGATCAGTCTATCAAATATTAAAGGGTCAAAAAGGCGCTCCTTTATCGACGCCCACAGAATTATTACGCATTATGCGTAATAATTCTGTGTCGATGCCATTTTGACAGTTGATATTATTGTAAATATTTTTTGACGATTTTTGTATTGTATTAGTTAGTTTTTTTAAATAGATTTTTCGAAGTGTTCCTAATAATTTCCAAAGATGGTTTGCTAGTTTTTTCTTAATATATTAGTTGTACGACTTTGTGTTTTTGTTGTTGTTATCATAGAATTACCAACCACATTATTACCCACGTACTAATTCTATGGTGACCAAAATTTATCCAGAACAATATATTCATTATTTTGCAAGTAGTTCATGCCTACATCTTCGTTTCTGGATATTTTGAGAATTTGACATTTTTAGAGGTTGACAACATTTTTTTTTAATTTGTAGATGGTACCCTTTTTACTGTGTGGGGTTTTTTAAATCATGTTGTGGAAAATACTCTAATAAGTAACAAATATAACACTCATTGCGATCGCTCACAAACTCAAGTTGTAAATAAATTTCTGGAAAACAAGTCTCCTGTTAAAAAAAACAATTCGTTTGTCTTCTTGTTTAATTTTGCTTAAAATGGTTGAACTGCCATCTTATTACTATCATATGGCCGAATAGATCTACGAAGTACCATGTGCTCTTGTGATATGGTATAAGGTTTATTTTTGCTTGAAACAGTTCGAAACCGTCCATGCATAAAAAAAAGTTCGCTAATAAATTGTCTTCTGTCAATCCGCCGCCGTATAGCACCGGTGTTGTTTTCCTTTTGAAAACACTTGTTTTGCTATTCTTACTAATTAGACGTTTTCAGATCGACTTTACTTTTACATCTGTATAACATTAAATAATATTTAACATTTGTAAATATCAATGAATCATAAACCTTTTTTTTTTTTCCAAATTAAGGTTCTTCATTGTTTCATATTTACAAATGTTATTATTAGATGAAAATTAAATTTAATAAAAACCAAGGTTTTTATTGATTTAGCTTTTTTGAGTGATTTAGCTGTACCTACTTATATAAATTATTTTTAATAAAAAAAAATAGTACAAAAGGTTTGTAATCTCTGCATAAAAAAGTCACTTACTCTCAATTTCAAAGAAAACACGTAGAACAACACGTATTTACCCACTAAAAACAAGTATCCTTCCGTTTGCAACTGATGTCTTATGTCAACTAAACTTATTAGGTCTAAACAAATGAAAAAAGCATAAAAAAGAACATTACTTTTACACATGGCTGATGACACGCCTATTGTGCCACTTTTATACTTTTACACGTGGCGCTTGACACGACAGGTGTGTCACAAAATATTTGTTCGCCACCACAGCTAAAAGTTGTAGAAAATCGGCGCCGCAACGAATCGGTTAAGACGTCTAGTACTGCGGTTAAGACGTTTGGCCACCGAGTATACTTACAAGAAACCTCTGGCACTGCGTAAGCAAATGCATAATAAATATAAAATAAACAATCACGCATGTCACCCAGAGGCTACGGACTTCCATTTGGCACGATCCTGACACACCTCTTGCCGCAAATGCGCCCGCCAAATTTTACAATTATGGCAAATATTCCCTACTATGGGAGAAGCATGTGCAGCGGTGGACTGTAAAGGTCAGATAGATAAATAAATACCGTCTTATTGTCATCACAGATTTGAAGTGCTGATTTTTTTTTTTGAAAAAAAAACCAAAACCAAAAGCTTATCAAGTGCTCGGCGATGAAGAAAAACATCGTAATCGCCAACACGCATTAGGCAGCGCGGCGGACATTTTCTTTCCCTACAACCCTCTCAGAAATGAGTGGAGGTATGTGCCTGTGTGGGACGTATATATAGTCCCACACAGGCACAGGCCTCCTTTAGTTTTTTTTTTACATTTTGCTTTGGCTCTTTTGACACAACATATTCTAATCAACTTTAACAGATTAGTGCGACAATTCCTGGACACAAGCTCTTCGGAACCGAGCATGTCGCGCGCTATCCTCGCGGCATACAAGGACGAACTCCTTAAAGGACCACCATTGCACAAACTGGGATTCCCAGAGCGAAACTAAGTTTATTGAAATAGTCTTTAATTTAGATACCAGATGTTTTTTGTGCCATTTACGTATTAATTTAAGATAATTCTTAGATAAAATGTTACAAAATATCTGATTAAATTATGAGAAAATTAATTATCTAAATCTGCTATAGTCAAATAAATTATATTTAAAATATTAATGTGTTTAATAATTTTAATGGTTTAATAATAAAGTAAATCAAAAACAAAAATATTTGATTCAATAAATTTAATTACATATACTTAGTTTGAATTGTTTAAATATCGAAAGTCTGCTATTGACTTAAAAACTATTAACCAGTACCTTCCTATTGCAGAACATGAGAAAACCTTTGAGATTGTTCATATTTATATTTATTTCTTTCAAGCATTCATTTTTTTTTCTTATGATTTTCTTATTGGTCGGTATTTTATTTCTGTATTTAACATACTATATTTATGTATTGTAGTCTTAGGTACCTGAAAACTATTAAAATAGTGCATAAGATTCAGTGTTTCTTTTGTAAATAATTAAATAAAACAAAAACTAGACTATATTGGTGTCACTTAATATGCTATATGTGTAGCGAACGAATATAGTAGGTACGATCCATAATATTGTGACCAGTTATTAATCGATGGTAAGATATCGCTTCGTTAAGTGTCAAATAATCGCAAGTCGCTTTCTAACTTTACCCATTAATCATGTCTAAAATTCGAATTTCTAAATCTCACAAAATATAATAAATATGACATACCTAATATCCACTACGGCTACTGGGAGTATAACCAAAATAGTGGACTTATAACGGCGGAATATGTCACTTTTCTTATTCAATTTTGTCCTGCCGTAAAACTCAAGACAAGCCTAAAAAAATCAATTTAAGCAAAATATGCTATTTCCTACCTACTACAAAAAGGAAACGGTACTCAATTCGACTGTATGTTTTTTTTTTCTTTTTTATGTGTGTTACCTTATAACTTTTTTCTCCGTGAAACGATTTCGATGATTCTTTTGTTATTTGAAAGCTGGTGCTTCATTTGTGGTCCCATATAAATTTCATCAAGGTCTGACCAATAGTTTTTTTAATTATTCTTAATAATAAGAAGTCGGTTGTAAGTTCTTAATTTGAAGTCGGTTGTACAAAATTTTTAATTTTTAATTATTCGATAGCCTTCTTTGTTTAAAGTTTCACTGTAAGTTTGTTAATCACATCAATTTTATTAAAAAAAATGTGTCTAAATCATTTTATATCAAAATATGTTTGCATTGTTTTGATATGGTATAATTATATCAATTTCTGTATACTTTGCTACTATCTCAACTGATGGGAAGTGGTGATGTAGCCGATGATGGTAAATTGGAATGGTATAGCGAAAATTTAATTCATCATCAATTCACATCTATATTTAATAATATTGGTGCCCTAGTGATGAATTTAATAAAACTTTAACTGTTAAGAGATTTACGCCATACCTCATAAAAATCGAGGTCAATTTAAGAAATATTTAAAGTTGCTCTTTACCTCCCTCTCTCTTTCTCTTTCTCTCTCTCTCTCAACTATATGTCATCAGAGAGAGACAGGTATAGAAATAATTTAAAGTTGATATAAGTTTTAAGTAAGGATAAGGCTTTTATTTCTTACGGTATGACAAAATTAATAAGACAGAGGGTGCAGACCGCATGGCACTCGTAAGTGCTATACTGTAAGCTAAATATGACATAACAATTAAATTGATAGTTAGTCAAATATTTCTTGATATTTTTCTACAAATCTTGATGTACTTACTCATAGCAATGTGCAATTTTACTATTTTATAAAAAAAAAATAAACCGCGTCCTCCTTGACAGATCACTTAAAATTAAAACTAATTTGGTTTATAGAATGTTATGCCCGCCATCAGTATCTTAAATAAAGATTTAAATAATTCATCAAACTTCAACTCCTTGGAAATAAATACTTATAATACAAATCGATACGGCTTACATAAAAAACACAAATTAAATATGTATAATTATCGCCTCAAAGAATCTTAATTTGGCCCAGAATTACCACTTCAATCTTGTTGACTATTTAATTTTATAAAACTGTGTATCAACTGTGTTAAATATATAACTGTGTTAAAATAAAATTTCAAGGAAATAAAAATATTATGACGAAAGATATTGGTGCATACGGGAAACACACTTCACTTCATCAATTGCATATCAATGATAGTAACATATCAATTTTAAAAATCGATTACAAATTTTACATAGCATTTAATATAAATATTTAATATTTATATCATCCGCCTAAACATCATACTACGTATTAACGTAGGTACGTCACAAAAGAAAATAGAAAATTGCACATCACTAAATTTATCTTTCCAACTTTTAAATAAAAATTTCCTGTATTTTTTAAATAAAAAAAAAAACAAAATTTACACTAATTATAATAGAGATAATATACCTCCCTATTAGAATCAGAATAAGACTCGTATCATATAAATGCAGCATTGTTGATTCAAATGCTACGCTACGTTATATTAGTGATCAGCAAAATTTATTATATTTGTATTATTCTTTGAAATATATTGTGGATTTAATAAAAAAAATGTTAGATCACCACCGATGTTTCATTTTATCGTCCTTATTTTAATTTAGATATCTACATCATGATATAATGTGTACCGAATAGTGGCGGATTAAGAATATATCGTCTCGTGAGTCGTGAGTATCGTAAAAGGTGACAGAGGACACTAAAACAGCCAACCCGCCTGCCAAGCATGGCAACTATGGCAAGTTTCATCTCTATGGGGGGAGGCAATCTTTGGGAGAGCCCTATGTTCAGCAGTAGTCTTTCGATACGCTGTAATGAATTAATAAAATGGTGGTTGTTCTTGTGCTTCCCGTAAAAGGCAGCGGAACACGAGACTCTTTCGTTGTAGGAAGGATTATTTTAATAAAACAAAAAAAAGTAAAAAACTAAACCCATCTAAAATGGTAAGTGGCTACTGCAGTCCATGGATATCTGCACCAATTTCAAACAAAGTAAGCTACAGATACATTGTCACTTCTGAGGACTAAGATGGAATGCCTCACAGCATGTAATTAGGTATACTGGCTCTCTATACTCTTTAGACCGGAACAGAGCAGTAGAAGCACTGCTGTTTGACGACAGATATATCTGACGACTCTTAGAAAACCACGATTTGCCTTAAACGCCACGCCTGCCAAGCGAATTTATGATCGCAAGGCTAGTAGACATCTCTCATCTTTGACGCTATTGTCCGTTTTGATATATTGAGAGCTTTACGTCTAGTGTGAAAGAGATAGTTTTACTGTCATCTTTTAGATGTTATAAGATTTTTAGTCATTTCCCATACACTTCACACTTCAGGAAATTGAATGACGGATTCTCTCAAGCCCCACACAACCTACGTGCAGTGTGACTGTATATTCACCTACGTCCAGCTAAGAGTATCAAAGTAGATAAGATTCGCCGACTCTCTTACTATTCTATCGCACTATCGGACTATAGACCTAAGGAACTTTTCTTGGTCGAACTAACTGCATGTTCTATCCAAAGACAAGAAGTATTTATAAGTATTTTCTTTGCTCTTGCTCTTTTTTAACCTCACTTTAGCAACACTTTCGGAATAACTGATCAATCAATATGAAGTCATGGATTCCCTACTCTACTGCCACATGAAATATTTCATCGTAATTATGGTAGTACCTATTATACACATTAAAAAATTAGGTCCAGAAAGTGAGTGAAGCCATGCTCACGATGTTCGAATTTAATATTACAATTTTACGAGATAGATTCTCTGCGACATGTTATGGCTGAAATAGGTCAGCTCGAATAGTTAGATCCACGCTCTCACAGATTACTATAGTAAAACATATCCGTTGGATACCTGATCATTATACCAGCCTAGGTTTTTTTTTTGTTGAGTTGGTTTCAAGATCATAGACGATGTTGGTCATAACTAACATGTGTTCTCAGCTTCATTTAGATGGCTTCCGCAACACTCGGACCCTATTCATCTATAAATGTATGATAGTAAGCTATAGAATTTAAAGCCTTGTACGGACTAAGCGTTCCAATGTACGCGTAAGCTAGGTATGTTGAATACGCGTACAGGACACATTTATGCATTGCAGGATTATGAACACGTGGTGACAAGTCGCGAGTCGGCCAGCCAGTATCCACCATGTCTCAAAACACAGCTGTGGTCCACCACCATTGCGACACTTTTCATTGTGCAACACATTATTTTCACAATATTTCAATCACAGTCTTGTTTTTTGTGGATATCCTTATCAAGGATTTTATCCCGCGCATAATTCAGAACACAGCCCTTTCCATAGCATGCTCAGAGACTGAGTTTCCTAATACGGCCAGCAGTGAAGGACCACGTTAAGTTCCGTATATCGTCACTGTAAACACGCACTGGTTGTACACTTTCGTGTTAAGATTCTGTGGATTATCGCACAAGATTTGTCAGTTTTCTAAACGCAGCCCAGCAGAGGTGGATTCGTCGGCTGATCTCTTGGTCGAAGTTGGATTTACCTAATCGGACATTTTGTCCTAGGTAAGTACACAATTTCTAGCGCAGAGTTTCCAACGACTACCAGCATAGGTGTAACACGGACGTTATGATGATTTTGTCTTGTCCGTGTTTATCTCAAAAAAGTGAGTGACTTATTGATGTAATACTGTATCCTTTCTAGACCAGCCGGGCTATTCACAATCGTCTCGGAAAGCGGAATCGACTCGGATTCGATAACTTCTCGCACCGAAACCAATAAACGCTATTCACATTTAACGTTCGGATAAAGGTCACTTAGATACATCCCATAACTATTGTATCATCATTTAGTTACATGCATTTACGAATTTTGTAGATAAGTAGGCTTTTGTATTTTTTTGGAGTAACGCCTGAACAAAAACATATCTCAGTTTTTTTGTTATTTATTATATAGTTAAATTATATATTTTTTATATTCGATATCAATGGCTAACACCAAAATATTGCATTATGTTTTTGTTCAGGCGTTACTCTAAAAAAATACAAAAGCCTACTTATCTACAAAATTCGTAAATGCATGTAACTAAATGATGATACAATAGTTATGGGATGTATCTAAGTGACCTTTATCCGAACGTTAAATGTGAATAGCGTTTATTGGTTTCGGTGCGAGAAGTTATCGAATCCGAGTCGATTTCGCTTTCCGAGACGATTGTGAATAGCCCGGCTGAACCTTTTATGCAAATTGAACGGGTTATTGCAAAATAACCTTGTATAGTCTCATGTCGCACGCAGGCTTGACGGCGTCCAGCCTCCCGAAGAGTATTATAATCTATCATTTTGCGTTGCGTATGTGAGTTATCTGCCGTGTAGTGGTGGTGTAAGAACATCCACTACGCCATATCGTCCCGTGGATTTCGTAAGAGGCGACAAAGGGAAAATCAAACAGATGATGGGCAGTACCATCTTCCTGATTACAACTCAAAATAATAAAAAAACTACGGTTGGCAAATGGGGGATGGCAAAACCTATATCTTCTTTCTGAATATATCTGAATAAAAGCAGCAAGCTACATTTGATGTTATCTGGTCGTTGATGTTTTCGAAAGATTGTTCCCAGGCTAATCTTTTAATAGGCTTGCCAACAGTCCCGGATTTTCCGGGACATCCTGTTTTTGTGTCAACTTTGGACCGTCCCGCCGTAACCCCTTGCGGGACGCCTTTTGTCCCGGAAATCAGTGATTATATGATATTAGTATCTATCTCGTACCAACTACACCTTAGGTGTAGCTTCGATACCACTTTCAAATGTATCAGCAGAGAGTGTTTTTTCTCTGTGGAAATGCATGGAAAGACATCAGAAATAGGCTTTTCGTAGACCACATCAAGCCTGAACCAGGGCTCGGAACCGGTTTAAAAAGAGCGGTTAATTTCGATTAATTACCGGTTATTTTATCGCTCCTTCAATTACCGGTTAAAAAATTAACCGGTTTTTATTAAAACTAAACGATGAAGGTTATCGGTTACTTAATGGTTTTGACACCCAAATTAACCGGTTAATTCCGTAAAACGTAAAGGCAGTTATCAATAGGACAGGTATATTCACGCTGTGAGGTGCTTATGCGGCATCGCCGCATGCGGGCATACTTATCATCAATTATCTGCCTTTAAGCGATACGTTTTTTCAGTCGCGATCAGGGTGTCTAGTGGGAGTTTGGCGTTTACGAAAAACATGAAAGTATTAGAGAAGTTTTGAAGAAAGAAAGGCAGTTATTGTGTTTGATTTCTTCAGTCAATCGGGCGGATCTTTCTGATCCGCCCGATTGACTGGCACTGCGTAGGGATGTTGCATCCCTTTGCATTTTCTATCGCATCTACCTCGGGGAGTGCTCTGAGGTTCGGTTTAATCTCAGCCGCTATATTTCATGAACCCACATTGCGTCAAAATTCACGATATCACCCTCGTCATCTAAATGCTTGACGGGCCACCACTGTACGTTTTACTAGGAGTTTTCGTGCTCGTACAACTTCTCTGTGGAATTGTTTACTACCGGCGATTTTTCCGGACCGATACGACTTAGTGACCTTCAACAAAAGAGCTTACTTCTTTCTGAAAGGCCGGCAACACACCTGAAATTCCCCTGGTGTTGCGGTTGTTCATGGGCATTACCATCAGGTGACCAGCATGCTCGTTTGCCCACTTTCTATAAGAAAACTTACGACGAAGAAAACCAAAAATCTAAGTGCTTGATTAAGGGCTGTAATAAGACTCTCAAGGTTGTTTCTAGAACACTCATTATACCCAAATTAATCCAATAACGGTACTTGGCACGACCCGGGATTCAAACCCAGGACCAAATCATGATCCACAGTCGCGCTGGTAACCACTAGACCAACGAGACAGTCGGCAATCAGACCAGTGAAAGGCCCGTCAACATCGGTCCAGCCATTTCGAAGATTAGCCGGAACAAACAGACATACAGACAGACAAAATTTTAATTTTTTTTATATTATATACTTTCATAATAGGTACGTATTTAGTTAAAATCTGTTATTTTGACGTTACGAACAGACACTTCAATTTTATTTATTTGAATAGTTCCATATTCGTAAAGTATGAAAGTTTGTAAAAAATTCGAAAACGATTACTATATTATTTTGATTTTGAGGCGTGAGAAAACTTGGCTGCACTTTTAATAATTCTCTTTTATAATTCAATACAAGATCGTAGATATCAGTGTGATTTATACTGATTATCTAGTTAGTTGGGAGTTATTAATAATTACTTTAAATAAAAGACAGGATTTTTAGTGTATGTATTTGGTTACAATCGACAGCAAAGTATAGCTGAATTTGATCATAATGATTTGTTGGATTCAAATTATTTTTCTTCATTAATTTCAGTATCAGTAAATTTAATTTCATCTATGTGGTTACCTTGCACTCTATTTAGCTAATATTTTTAGTAGCATCTTGTACGTGTACAACATGTGATGTTAATGAGATGTGAAAAATAGTAATTTCTTTTGTTAGAATTCTCTGAACATAACAAACAATTTTTTATCGTGTTTAGACATGACTTCTAGTTAA